ACCTTATTATCGAGAAGAAAATACCTCCTCGAAACTGAATGACATGACCGATCTCGAGAACTCATGGCTGAATTGCCGCTGTGGGGTCGTTGGAGGCGGCGTCCGAGGGCGGAGCGCGTTTGGCGGCCTCTCGCTTTCTGAGGGCCGCCTCGTATTCATCGAGGGAGCCGAGCTTATGTGAGATTGCGCACTTGTTCGCCCCTCGAAGCCCCCTCACCGCGCCTCCAGCCATCTCATCTGACCCACCAGCCCAATGTGACCACTCCCCGTCGCCAGCAGCCTCGAGCTGCGCTTGGGTCGCGGCGAGCTCCGAATCGTTGCGCATGTCGTGGTAGCAGGAGGCATGGCCGCAATGCATGTAGTGGTGGTGAAAGTCGCGAAACGGTCTCACTCGCGGCATGCCCCAGAATCGCAGGGCCAAGGAGAAGGCAGCTTCGCGGCTGGAGTTGCCAGCCTGCAGGGAGTCGAACTCGATCAGTTGGATCTGCTCGGGATACTCCGCGGCTGCATCGCGCCAGCCACGAGCGAACGCGCGGTACGCGAGCAGCTTATGAGCGAGGTGGCTCTCCTTCGTCTGGTGGAGCCACATGCCCCCCGCCCTGGCTGACTCGCAGTCGGATTCGGCCGCAAACCAAGGGTTACGGAGGAGGACGATTGTCTTCGAGCCGTTAGCGAGCGCCGCCTGCACTGCCGCCTTGGTCGGTGGCAGGTGCTGCTTGTACAACGTTTTCTCGTTGGACTGCCACGCCTTGATCCGCAGAGGGTGCACGTTGCACATATCTGCATGATGCAGCGACCCGTACAGCCGCTTGCTTGCTGAATCCCAGTGCACCATGCACATTCCGCGGAAGCGCTCCTGTGTCCATGACAGGTTTCCCATTGAGGCGATAGATGCGGCTGCCGAGTCCGAGGAGGACTTGGGCAGAGCGACGAGCAGTGGCATGTCGGCGAGGGCCGCCCGCCGTCGCCCCCTTTTTGCGGCGGGCAAATGCGACAAACAAAAGGTGCGCACTGTCGGTGAACCTTCTTACGAGGAGCACAAACATTTCCCGATTCTCTTGCTCAACATTGGGCACGGGACATCGCCACAGACCCCCTTACGCGGGTAGGAGCCCGAACCCTCCCGCTAAACTTCTCCACACACACGAAAAAGAAAGAAAGAAAACGCGGACAACCCAAGGGAGGGATGGGAGGACGGCACGCCGCCACCACACAGGGATGACGCCGTGTGACTCGACGCTCGAGCCGTCGTCGAAGGTGATGGTGAGGTCGGCGCGGGGCACCCGCGTGCCGCCCGGTGTTTGCGGCGTGGCTGGGGAAGGGGGGGGGGGGGGGCTCAGCCGTGCAAAAAGCATCAATTAATAATAGTAGTGAAGAAACATTGCTCGGCCGTTCATGAAGTCCGTCTCGATCTAGAGGAGACGGGTCAACCCCGTGAGGACCAGATCAGGTTCGCATTGTCGTAGCCGGAGGGGATGTTGACCTTTAGCTCTTGGGGCCACCTTTCCGCTTTGGTTTTTTCCCCACTGACCACTCGGGCAACTTTTACCAAATGCCAAAGTTGCACTTTACCATTCGGGCAACATCGATTGCATTTTACCACTCGGGCCCAAACTCGATGAAACGGGCGGACGGAAAACGCGTTTGCGGTCGCTCGCCGGAGAGCTATGCATGAAGCGGCCGGCGCGCCACCGCAGCTCACCGATGGAGCTTGCGAAGCGGCTCAGTCCACTGGCCCAGCAGCATTGCGACCCATTCTCCAAGCACGGCCTCTGGCGTTGCGACTGCACAGAGAGCGAGCAATAGTCGCCAAAAACACTGATCTGTGTGCAGCGGATCTCCATGGCGGTCGCGCCCAGCGAAGGGACAACCGCAGGCCTCGGATGCTCGCCCGGATGCGGACTCACCGTGCGAGTTGCAGCCCCGGAGGTGGCCGACCCAGCTCACCCCCAGAGAGGCCATGCCCAGGGTCAGGCATAAAAGGGGGGTGTTTTTCCGTCCGTCCGTTCACTTTCTTGCAAGTTCCTCGTGACCCCGGCGCCAAGGTCCCTCCGGCTCTTCTCCGAGAGATCATCTACCAGCGCTGGCAACAACCCCCCGACGGCAGGGGCTACTCGAGTAGTGCATCGTACCCGTCCTCATCCAGCACCCTATCTATAGCGTGAGCACTTCAGCGCTGCGACATGCGCTATCCTCAGCGTCTTCAGCGTATCCTTGGAGTCGGGTGGGCGCCGCCTGGGCTACTTTGCTGATCGCCGTCCCGTCTGCGCTCGCGCTACTCTGAGGAACCATCTATCTGGCGTGCTCCCAGAACCTTGAAAAAAATACCCATTCCTCGCCACAGGACACCGGGCACGGGACTGGTCACAGTTAGGTAGGAAGGTGAAGAAGCCTGGCTCGGACTGGTCGACTGGTCGACGCTATGGATCGAAGCTCAAAGAAAAAATGGTCGCGATGTTGGACAGCTCGTCGCGCTCGCTCGCTCGCTCGCCTCGCTCGCTCGCTCGATCTCGCTCGCTCTGTACCGAGAGTTGTCCTGCCGCCTTCGAGATATGGACATCTTTCACGGCGACCACGGCCCCACGGCGGTCGTCGATGCCTCATTGGCGGGCGTGCGGCTGCAGGCCTACGTCGCGCGGACGTTCCGGGAGAGCGTCGGCCGTGGCGTCGGCACAATGCACGCCACGTCCAAGGTTTCCGCCTTTGAGATTGTCCGCGCCGGTCGGGTCTACGTGAACGGTGCGCTGGCTGCCGGACGGCGCGTGCTAGAGGCGGGAGACGTCGTGACTGTCGCACCGGCGGCAGCCGACGGCGCGGCAGCCGCCACCGCCGTCGCTGACCCGCCGGCGCGCCGTCTCGAGGGGCGGTCGAGGATGGCACTGGGAGGAGCGACCGAGCCGCAGCGGAGAGAGGCGCCCGAGGCGGCGGCTGCGGCCGAGGCCGCGGCGTGCCGAGACGCCTTTCGCGCCTACTACTTGCAGCAGCGGCTCTGGTCAGCGGAGGAGTGGCCTGCCGTCGAGCGTGCCTTTGCACAGCCGCTCCCGCTGACGGTGCGTGCGGTCCTCTCGGCGGCGACCCACCCGGACGCCACCGCGGCGCTGAGGGCCATTTATGGGGACGAGCTGCTCGAGGCTGGCCTGGCTAGATGCGCGAGGCGCTTGCAAGACACGCCCTCCCGTCCTCCCGCCCTCAGCTCCGAGGACCCGTGTACCAGGTTGGCTGGCTGCCAGGCGCCTACCGGCTGAGGCTGGCAGGGGAGGGGCTGGCAGGGGAGGGGCCGGGCTGGTGCGGCGGGGCGGGCGGCAGCGAGCCGGGAGGCGGCGGGACGAGCGGCGGCGGGTCGGGAGCGGCGCAAGGCGAGGCGCTGCAGCGGCTGGAGATGCAAGGCGAGGTGCTGCAGCGGCTGGAGATGGCGCGAGGAGGAGGCGGCCTCGGTCGGCTTGCCACGCGCTGCGGTGCAGGAGGCAGCTCTGGCCGCGAGTAGGCGCAGCTGAGCGGGGAGCTGGTGGTGCAGGTGCCGAGAGACAGCCGAGAGACAGCCGAGAGACAGCCGAGAGACAGCCGAGAGACAGCCGAGAGACAGCCGAGAGACAGCCGAGAGACAGCCGAGAGACAGCCGAGAGACAGCCGAGAGACAGCCGAGAGACAGCCGAGAGACAGCCGAGGTACAGCCGAGGTACAGCCGAGGTACAGCCGGTAGCACACACCGAGACAGAGATCCGAGACTCCCCGAGACACCGCCGAGGCCAAAGCCTAAGGCGCTCGGGGTGCGGCAGAGCGGTGCAGCCAGCGCCTCTCCTTCACGCCTCTCCACGCCTCTCCACGCCTCTCCACGCCTCTCCACGCCTCTCCACGCCTCTCCACGCCTCTCCACGCCTCTCCACGCCTCTCCACGCCTCGTGCCGCGCCGCAGGAGGCGTCCGCGATGCTGCCGGCTCTCGCGCTCGCGCCGCGGCCAGGCCACTGCGGGCAGAACCTCTGCGCCGCGCCAGGCGGAAAGACGCTGCAGATGCTCGACAAGCTCGCCGCCTCCGGCGGCGGAGAGGGCGGCGACCGCGAGGGCGGCAGCAGAGGCGGCGGCGGCGGCGACAGCAGGGGAGGCGGCGGCGGCGAGGGCGGCAGGGGAGGCGGCGGCGGCGAGGGCGGCGGCGGCGAGGGCGGCGGCGGCGAGGGCGGCGGAGGGGATGGCGGCGGAGGGGATGGCGGCGGAGGGGATGGCGGCGGCGGCGAGGGTGGCGGCGGCGAGGGTGGCGGCGGCGAGGGGTGGTGCGGGCTGCTCGTCTCCAACGACCTCGAGCGGGTGAGCTGGGCGAGATCTCGGCCGAATCTCGGCGAGATCTCGGCCGGATCTCGGCGAGGTCTCGGCCGGATCTCGGCGAGATCTCGGCCGGATCTCGGCGATATCTCGGCCGGATCTCTGCGAGTCCTCGGCTAGATCTCGGCGAGGTCTTGGCTAGATCTCGGCGGGTCCTCGGCTAGATCTCGGCTAGGTCTTGG